AAAATTGAAGTGTGAGGCGACATTGTTAGTTAATTTTTTACTTTAATATACACTTCTTGCTCATTCGAAGCTGCAGTGCCCTATTATAAGCTTTTTTGTATAAACATGTTTATGCCTAAAGGGCATTGCTTTGAAAATATATAATGCACTTTTGTTTAGTGCCTTTTTTACTTACTATGCGAATATGACGAGTTAGATATCCTTTATGTACTAGCTTTTTTTGAAATTTCTTTCACTGATATTGAGCACAGATATTTATTGTGGTGCCTCATGCCATGCTGTCATTTGTAGCTGGGACGATAAGGGAACTCTATCACGATAAAGAGACACACAGTCTGAGTGATTGAAACATCCTAGCTGGTTACCTATGACTAGTCTTGAAGTGAAATTTGTCAGGGTCTCACAAAGTGCACACTTACAGTCTCTAATCGAGAGAAAGCTCTTTATCTCCCACTGATATGATGGGTTGGCTTTGTCAAATTAATTACTAGTGATGGTGTGATGTGGACTGTTAATTCCCATCCTCAATATATCTCTTTTTAGGAAAAAAGCATCAATGTTCTTGGTTGAGCGAATCGCTGGGCTTAGAGGTCGCAGTATAAACTGTACTCTGCTAGGAGCTCTAAGTGAATTTCTGACTGCGCATCTTTTTATTATTCTCATTTGATTAACCTTTTTTAAACAGCTAAAATAGGGAAGAGCTTTATTGATTTCCTAAACACACACATTATTTTCTCACTATTAATGCTTGTCTAAAAGCGTTGCACTTTTAATTTGCCATAATCGCTTTCTTGAAGAAATCTGTGATCGCGACAACAGACAGCAACCGTATTATCTTTGGATATAGATATGATAAAGAAGCCACATCACTTTGAAAACCAGAATGGCAATGAAATGCAACATAATTACTAAGCAAAACAGTGAATAGACTAGAGAACATTTACAACGTAAAAGTCTGCTCTCCATTGGCTTCCAGTAATGTTGACATTAAAACATTCTGTTTTCGCCATACTGCCAAGTAAGTACTGTGCTGAGAAATTAAATATCATTAAAATTAAAAAAACAAGATAGAGTTCTAATATAGTAAATTATAAGAGAGCGGTGGACAGTATTCTATAGCAAAGCATGCTTTTAAAAACAAATTTTTTTTCTTTGACAAAATAATATTTATATAATTCGTGTGCTGGATACTTCCAAAGTTCTTCTCTTAATTTTCAGTGAAGTGATACGCGGTGAGCAAAGGGCAGCAAAGCCAATAAATAAATTTTGTCTGCGTAAAGCATGATACCCCATTTTACCTCAAAACTCATTTACGTCTCACTTTTCGTATTTATGCCGCAAAACCCGTTGATGAGAGCACTTCATGCGACACCTAAAAAAGTAAGGTAGGTAAGCGTGTAGGCAGGCAGGTAGATAGGTAGCTAAACAGGCACGCAGGTGTGTAAATAAGTAGGAGGTAGGTATTTACCTAAAAAATTAAGTTAGAAGCACTAATAAAGGCTTTTTCTCGTACATATGCACTATAATATTTCATGAAAGTCTATCCTGAAGCGTAGTAGATCTCAAAATGCAGACTAATGATCCCTGATGTAAATATAAAATCATTAGCATTTCTCTCAAATCAACTTTAAGTATTACTTTTTCCAACAGAGGTACACAATCACCCTTTTTTTATTGTCAACAGATTGTTCACTTTGACAGGCACCTCAGAAATACAAAGTCGAAAAGTAAAACACTGACATCCATTTCCATAAGTGGGTGGATAGATGAATAGAGAAATGAATTAATAGATGTATGAACTAAAAAGAGGGATGGATGAATGCACTAAGGTAATGACAAATGGGTTTCCAGTCCCAAACCCACTGAGCAGCTTAAGGTTTGAACACTGACTTTTATTATCTACAACAATAAATGGAGTGTCCCATTTACTGTCGAGTTTACCCTGGTCCATTAAGAATGATAACAAACCAGTAATCGAATTGACGTGATAGGTTGATAATGAATCCAGTTGGCTCCTAGTAGAGAGGACTAAGTATGGATGGGACATTATAATTGCGCATGGCTATTCTTGCCTATTATGAAATAGCTTAACCCTATTTTGTTCTTTCTAGTCTAGTCTAGTCATGTCTGGATTACTATGGTCTAGACTACCAAAACTTGGCTTGCCAAGTCTACCGAAAAATGCTTTTAAAATAAACAAATAATTAAGATGCTATTAGGCACGATACCCTGAGCCTTGCCTTGTTTTGTTATACCTTCTCTTGCTTTCACCACTTTCTCTGTGCTTATTTGGTGTCATCCTTGATAAAACTACACAGGGATACACAGGATCATTACGCATAAAATGCCTAGTACTGTATTCCTGTCCAGTTTTAAACAAAAATATTTTGAAAATCTTACGGACAAAATTTAGGGTCGTCTTTGTATTTTCAGGTGAACTGAGTGGTAGGTAAACATCATGGATTTTGACTGACCTTTGAAACAAAGAAATTTAGTGCCATTCCACTTTAACAAGTAAAATGTACATAGGATTTTCGTGCAGATGAGCAACATCCTTACAATTCCATTACGTAACGCATCTTTAGCTGCAGAGACGTAGCATCAAAAAGTAGATTTTGCACTGTCACAAATCAGCCGAAAATGGGATTAAAAGATATTTTTTGGCCGTCTACTTGGTTCATAGACAGTTAAAATAACCTGGCAAAAATTTCAAAAGCATATCCTGCAAGCTGGTACTGTTTTTAAATGTTTTACCCTAAATTCATTCAAAATTCATACCCATTGTAAAGCTATTTTAAAATAGCTAGCGAGTCATAGTTTCCTTAGTTGAATGAGATCTAGTCTTTTGACTGCAAAAATGTGCATCTAAAGGAGAAGAACAAAGCAAAGAGGGACAATTAAATTCGCGGATGTGATAGGATCCACACAGTTGTCAAGGCAACAAATTCCAAACAGGGATAACTTTTGCTATGCGAGACATTAAACTAATATGTGAAAAGCCAAGGTAATGTAATGTAAGATAATAGCCGCTATTGTGAAGGAATGTTTTTATTTTTGCTTTCGCACGTCCACGCATAATAGGATTTATGATTTAGCCCATAATTAGCAAAAAAAGTTTCACAAAATCCCTACTTTGCAATCAACAAGAAATGTAGAGTAAACAAAGTTACGAAACCAAACTTAAAATTGTTAGGAGCTTATTTGATGGGCTTTAGTAAAGAGGGCACCTCACCCATTTGTCAATAGTCCATATGTGTGAGTCAAGTTTTAAGAACAGTGAAATGTTGTAGAGTAAAAGTAGAGAAAGACTAAAAGGCAGGAGACGAAAATAGAGTATGGAAGATATTTCCGTGATAAACTTTCAAACAAACGAAAATTTAACACACACCACGCATTGCAACCATATTTATTTATCCTTACGCAAGAACGAGATAATGGCAAGATGCAAAAAAGGGGTACCATTGAATGAAGCCCTAAACGATTACCAACGCAACCAAACTGCCTAAACTTCTACCTCAATTTCATGTGTCACTGCTTCTTTTCGCATTCTACCTTAACACTTTCTGCTTTATCAATTTCAAATACGAGGAATTTTGCTTTCCACACATCTTGCTACACTAATTGATTGCGCTTTATACCTCAAGCGTTAGAATGGTTCATTGCAAAGCCCTTCAACGAAAGTAAGAGTTATGCTTCTCTAGGAGGTTTGATTGATGGATGATTAAAAAGCCGATTGAGTGGCTGGCGAATTTCTAATATTGAATGATTCATTTCTTCCTACTGTGATCTAATCAGTGTAACAGAATAAAAAAGGAATATTTAGGTAAAGATTATAAAAAAAATTAAGGGCGAAGCAAGGTGATCCTTGACAAAGACGGTAAACTGAAGCACTTCCTAAATGTATCAACTCTATTCATTCATTTTCAATGCACATACATCCCTCACTTTCTCCTTGTATATCTCACCATAGGTCAGTAGGTAGAACTTTTTCTTTTTCCCTCTTGCTAGCTTATGTTTACGCCTTAATTCTTATTTTAGGCCTCTAAACTCACCTATGCACGAAAGAACACCTTTTTAATTAGCCATCACAACTCAGTGCTCCACCCATTGGTCCCGCCTGCTTGCCATATTTTACATTACTGCTTTTGTGTTATATTTCTCTTCTATGGTTGTTATAAGTCAGATAGATAGATGGGCAACTGTTTGGTCAAATAGGTGGACTAATGGATGTATGGGTAGGTGAATCAATGCATGAATGGAGGGATAGATAAATTCGATGTGAGTGTAGCCACAGCAATTAATGAGTGGATAGGTATTGAAATTGCCATGTTACCAGAGCACTAGCATTTCTGAATCAACATGGACCCTGTGCTGATTTGCTCCAGTCTGCTCTGTGTCTTAAACCTTATTCTTTTTTATGTAATTTATGCAGTCTTTGACAGTTCCAATCTTCCCTTCGCACTCGGTTATGAAAAGTTAATTGCAAAGACTTCATTCCTATGTTGCATTTCAGTAGTGATAGAATCCTTCCTTCGTCCTTTCCATCTTTTCGATATTCTACCTTTCATTGCCACAAGCACCGTGTTCATTTTTTCTCTCATTTGATGACAGCCGTCGTGATTGGGACCACTGACTGAGTGTGTCTTTTGATATGGAATTTCAATTCCTTTTTATAACGAACACCGTAATATAGTCAATCAAAAGTCTTCCTGTCGGAATGTCTAGTGGTTACCATTGATAAAATCTCTAATGACAAGCGAAAAACTAAGATAGTATTCTACAATGCCAGTGAGTACGGATTGTTTTGATAAAGAAGCCTTTTTAATTATTCAATATGGGTAAATTTCATTAAAACACAAGAAGCATATTGATAGATGGACACATTTAGGCTACTATCCACATGGTGCATAAAGTGCTGTTTCATTACACAGACAATAGTAAAAGAAAAAAGCGACGGGATCTGTTGTAGATATCCGCGGTCACTTTTAATGGGTTTTTGTTCAGTCCGGCAAATTAACGATTGAGGCGTTGGCCAGTTTACAATCGGGATGCGGCGATTCAACATAGCCATTTATCCACTCCTTTCTCTAGGAGGTAATAGCAAGTAAAATTATGCCTATAGAGCAAGAAGTAAGCAGAGACGTAAGAAGCAGCTACTTTATGGAGAGTAAGCCTTCAGTCACAGTTTCGACTAACTTCGGCTGAGAAATCTGAAAGGCAATTAAAACGCACGTTCTGTTTGCTCGTTTACTTGTCTCTTCCGCTAGTTGGTACATTTATTAGCACTAACTTAATGCATTTTCAAGAATCCCTGCTTTTGTGATATAAGTATATTAGCACCGGAAAGGAGGGAGTTAAGAGGCATTTAACAGAAATATATGGTTAGATTAAATAAACACAATATGGACAGTTTAAAAACTTTGATCCATTTTGATTCAGTTTGGTCCCATCTGACTTAAAAATAATCCAACTTTTTAGTTGTGATCAGGGTAAGATGTTAGTGAATTGGAAGCACTTGCAAGATGCAACACTCCTCTCCAATCATCAGTAGGGTTTGACACATCCCATCAGCATCAATTGGGTCAACATGCATTCATCGAAATGTGTTCACGTCTACGAGCTTTCTAAGCTTTTCTTCTCAAATGGACAGACAATTCCATCGACTCTTCAATATCTTGCCTTTCTTGGGCGGTACCCTACTTAGATGCAGAATAAATAGGAACACACTTTCCATTTGGCGCCGCACAATTCACCAAATGTAAAATGCTTCAGTATAGTCAACTTCTCACAGTCTTTGACCAAGGCACCCACTTACATCGATTGTGAAGACGTAGCCTGTACTTGTAGGGCCGTCGGGATTTTGTGGGAAAAAGTTTTGCGGACTCAGAATAAGTCCCAGTTGACTACCCTTGCTGGGCGTGTGAGGTATGTCCTCATTCACTGGAATGTGAATGAAGCCAATGTTTATCCACATTACCACATCCTATAAGTAAACGCAAGCCATTCCTTACCACTTGCCCTGAAGACCATTGTATGCCCTAAGAATAGGGTTAAGGACACGAAAAAGGAAAAGGAGAAGATCATATTTAGCACAACCGATTCGGTTAAGCGACGTGGTACTTTTAAACTTGTTCAGTGCTTTTGAAGCAGCTTTTCATAAGAGTGTAGGGATAGACACTATTATTTAGAAAATTTTTTGTCAACATCTTACTTCCTCGATCTCATACACCTACGCTTCCAATCATGCTTGCAGTCATTCATCTACCAAGAGCATCCAGCTAATAGTATGTTATGTTATGTTATTGACCATTTACCAGCTCCACGTTCAGTTTGGCTGCAATATTAATGAGAAAATATAAAATACTTGTAAATGAAGTTTTAAATTGGCCTGTCTACAATAATGGAATTGACTAACCTCATCCAGTGTTTCATATGTGCTGAAGGTGGCAAAGTCGACAACAGGATCGGTTAAGTCGACGCCGTTGTAAATAGACGAGGCGCGCAATTCATTCTCCTTGTACTTGGTAAACCACAGGCTTTGCCTACAGAGAGTTACAGGAAGAGTTTAAATCTCTTTGGGCCGTCAAATAAGAAGTGTCAATTGCTGGATTGCAAGACTAGCCTTTTTTTGCAACAAATCATACGAGCACGCTTAGGTTATTATTAACAGCACACTTGCAATTTAAAGGGATCAGTGTCTCAAAGGTCTAAAAATCAAGTAAATGTATTAGAGAGAATGGCACAGCTTGTTTAAAGTTGAGTGTTTCGGAGTCTATCGCGTTCAGATGGTGCCAACTTGTGTTGTGAGTATACTTGTGCAGCAGCATTGTAAGTCATTTGCGATGTGCATTCTCCGTGTTATGTGCTGATTGGGTGCTAAAGAACACAAGTGAAACCCGTTCCGCCTTAATAAGACAAAGAAATAGGAATTATACAGGGAGGTATTACGGTGGATAATGAAGCAGAATGCACTCTTGTCCACACCAACTACCACTCTGCTTTGCACAGCCCTGTGCTACACTTTGCATTACGAGCCAGGGGGAGAGAAAGGGAGGCATGGATGGGAGAAGGAAGCAAAAGACTGTTGTATTTTCATTCCTAATCTCGTCCTCTGTTTATCTTTAGCGTAGACCTCCAAGCGATAATCTCATCTTTCCTTGACATCAGATAACTACATAGTCGTGCACGAGATTCAGGGTTTTGAAAGTGGCCGGGTGTTTTGCCTCCAAGGGCAAATAATTTAAACAACATTAGCAGCTGCAGCCAAATCTTAATTCACATGAGTGCATTTGGCTCCCCTTACAATTCAAGTCAATCAAGCAACCCAATCGTCTCACGATGCTACCCATATTTTCAGGTACTTTGCATTTGTTAAGTACATGTCTCCTTTTTACGCCTTCTGTAGCCAATAGAAGTATGTGTTTGCAAAAAAGAAATGCTTCTTTAGGGGAAGTGAACTTACTTAGGAGTAGTACAGTTGAGCTTGAACTCGGACAGCCTAACAGCATATCATGGTTTCGTTATTCGCCAAAGATTGGCCCGCCTACTTATCATTATGAGTAGCAGCATTCTTAGTTCCCTTTATATCATTTGCAGTGGTGCAGCGATCCACAAGTTATAGACGATTTCTACCAACTACCTAACGAGAATAGTCTATCTTGCTTTGATGCTAAAAGCCATTCCCTTTTTAGTATTAGGTAAATCAGCAAAGCGGTGAGACAGTTGTATACGCCTTCTCAATAAACCCAGAATCTCGAATGGCCAGTGGTAGGTAATACAAACTCGCAAACTCAGCATTTCGAAAAAATTGCTTGATTTGTATGAAACGAAAGAAATAGGACGCAATAGCAAATAAGATTTTCGGGGCCGTCTGTAAGACCTCATCAACTGAATCAATGAGAAGGTTATAATACTCCTCTAAGGTAACCCAAGACCTGCCATTGTCAGTAAAGTCATTCAGTGTAACGGCAAGGAACTCTTTGATCGTTGGCAAACCTGAGAGTCCATCCCTCCATGTTTGATGGTTTATTGAGAGGTTAGAAAGCCTACCGAATCCAGGCGAATGAACGGGATGAATTCCGCGATACCATCGATGGTACTGGAGCAGTATTGGTGATCTGCAGACACTGAGAGTTGGCACCACTTGTAGCACCAGTCAAACAGAGAGCTAGATGGGTGGTTGGATCGCTTTGTTGAAATCTACCCTCTCGCTCTGTCCTCACCTTCATCACCTTCATGTTCATGCGGTCTAGTTTACCGTTCTGCCCTTCTGCGTACACCCGTGTCTGCTCAACCTATTTGCAGAGTTCAAAAAAAGACATGAGTACATGCACATAGGCATGTACCAATCATCATCTCAAGTTAAAACTCAAAAACTCACAGAGTTATTAGCTCCCAGTGCGTCAACAAAGAAGAGGAAGTGGTGGGTGTGAATGGTGAATCGCAGATCAAGTTTGGAGGATACATATCCGAAAAGGTGATCAGTAGAAGCGGGCACATCCACGTGAATGTAGCCCGATGGAACCACGTAACTAGCGTAGCTTCCACTTGGCGAAAAAATGTTTACAAATGCATAGTGATAATTGAAAATGGCAGCCTGGGTTACCACATAGAGCGACTTCTTGACCACCCCTGTTGCATAACCTGAGTCTGGATGCATTTGGTTCTCCCCATGCGATCGAAAGTATCGACGCAGTGGGCCCTCATGCACGTTTGCGGATGAAGCGTAAATGCAGATTCCATTGTGCACTGTCCTTACACCTACAGAAGGACTTGGAATGATGGGTACAGCGAGAAAGACAGCGTCAACAGGACAATCTATACCGGGGGACAGTTCTGAAGTCAGCGAACCAACACCGAACATGGATTCCAAAGAGGTGAGAGCACGCATGAAGGGTGTTTCACCACCATAAATGGTGACGGTTTCGTCTAGTCCAGCCTCATGCATCATTAGTTGACGGTTAAAGTAGACATTGTAGAAACGGATGCCAGTTTCGTGGCGAACTGCAACATCAAACTCCCACGGTCCATAGGATATGTGCTTGTCCACAATCTTACCCTGGAAGGATTTGGTGGATGATGCCTGAGCGCGTGGGCAGAGACCACTTATCAGCCTAGTATGACTGTCCATAAAAGGACTTGTAAAGTTGACTTTGCGAACAAAGAGGCTTGACCATCTAGGTTTAACCGACAAGAATTCGTTGATACTCTGGAATCGGTGGCCCTGTATGCTCAGTCCACTGACGCTCCAAAATGACTGTTCAGTTTCAGTGTGGTCGATCTGAAAGTTGTAGGTAGATTAGAACGAATGAGCTCTGCACTACGGAGTAGTGACTATGTTTACCATAACTCTCATCAAGCATATTTTAAAGAGGCTCTAACTCCCGCTCACACAGATTTAAGGTAACCAATCTTAACCTATCGGCACAATTGCATTAATCTATCAAGTCTTTAAATGGAATACATTAAGCAAAACGAAGGGTGAAGTTTTGGTGCCTATCACATGACCAAATCCACTGTTGCGTTGGAACCCACTCTCACGGATCGAATTGAAGGCTAAACACCCATCCGTACTTTCCTGTAGCCAAGTTCGTGATGTTCTAAAAAAGTGCTGGCTGAAAGAAAGGAGGATAGGCAATCGTAGTTATGCTTATTATCGGCTGGCCACTGTTAGGCTGCTCCTCTCCATTCACGCATTCTGTACCTCTTGCATGATGTGGGGGGTTAATTTATCACGACTTCCCTACCAGCTGCTGGCTTCGGCAAATATATGCGTTGTACGAACAAAACACTGACGAACTTTTGTGCTATGCTGAGAAAATAGCACCTTCGCGTAAGCAAACATAGGGTTACCCAGATTGTTTTTACGATTTGTCAATGAGGCGCACTAGTCATCTTCCCCTTTCTGTTTGCTCTAGGATTTTTAAGCAGGCTTGTAAAGATTAAAACAGGGCTAGCAGGGACCTCTGACCTTTGGAAGACAAACACGCGCTATCACCTATTGCCTACATGGGCAATAAGAAGGCTTCCAGATTCAATTATTCTCTAACGTCAAGTTAAGTACATGTCAAGCATATCCTATGTTTGAAAACCAGGTGCTGAAGGTGTTTTAGGTCTGTTTTGTCAAATGATATACTTGCAATACTACGTGCGTCATTGACATTTAGACAAGTCTAGTTGTGCATGGTACAATATCACAAAAAAAGATTACCGAGCCTCACAGCAATGTTTGTGCTAGGGTTTTCGAAGGCCAAAGCGAGTGTAAATGAAATTGAACAGCTGAAGTGGGAGAGTCATGGTCATAGAAAGCTCCCGTGTAAAACACAAAGTTCGAGTGATTGAAATCCATCATTTTAAGTGCTTGCACGGAAATACCTCACGAGCAGTTTAGACATCAAATAAAACATTCAGCTCTTGCAATTTGACTTTCACAATGGTGATACAATGCCTCACTTGTGCTACCTTCGTGTTGCACACAACAAGACACCACTTCTCTACTCTATGAGCAAATAAAATATCTTTTGCATGACAAAAATGTCCTCACAATAGCATTTGCAAAGACTTCAGCTAGCCATATTTCACTTTGTATTGTGTAACGGCACAAAGCTGTTCAAAAAGGGCACTTATGCTTAGTCAAGAATCTATGGCACTTCACTCCAACTGTCAAATCGCAAAGACTGTATAATGCTATGCGTTCGAACTGACCTCAATGTGTACATCAATTGGATGTTGATTATACGGTGGCACAAATCGGTTCAGTCGAAACACCGAGACTCGTCTATTGGGCCTCTGCAAAGTCACCCTGGGAGATGCAAACATGGAAAATAGACAAGAATGAAAGCTGGATGGAGCCGCATGTTGACCAGCTTGTCTCTCTGTTGACTGCACACAGGCTGGCAGCGCAAATTGACCATCCTCAACATACATGAAAGTGGCGCCGTAGTACAGACTCAGAAATTGACCGAACTCTCCGGTGCAAGTTTGACTAAGGAAGTGGTCCAATGCTCTCATTTCGATCTCATCCACAGGGCGTTTCAACGCGGGGACTCTTCGCGACTCAGTGATAGTTACATTGGTCTGTGTGGTACCTACGAGGTACTCATGCACGTACTCTGAACCAGGAGTGTAAAGAGCAATTCTGGCTAGTCGTGTGAAATGTCTTCCTTCACGCTTGTGCTTGGAGGGCACCTCCAGTGCAACGTGCAGTGCCCTGGTGCGAGCGTGCATTGGCACGGAGGTGGAATTGGCGTCAAGGGGCAAAAAGAAGTAACCGTCAGTGTATTTTTTGCGGAGGAAGATAGCAAGATTCTTGAAGGCGTTGTGAACCTCGTCGAAGCTCAGTTCGTCGAAAGGTCCTCTTTCTGGAAGATGGAGGTAGGCTAGGCAATTGCAGATGATACTGGCGATCGCCAACAGCGTGAACACTTTTAACATCTAGGGGTATATACACAGGTTTTGTTAATTTCGTCGTAATACACGGCTCTTAATCAATCTGATTATGCTGTTAATTGGAGGTTGACGGCAGCTGGCAGCTGATGGTAGAGGACGTAGTTTAAGCGCATCCCACTCAGCAAATTTGGAAAGGTTTGAGAAGCATGCTTTGCAATTATCAATGATCGCAAGTTGGGAAGATGGAATAAAAGGATCGTATTTTTGTACCTCCTTTTGGATGCAGTGTATGTTTCAGTACATCACTTACCTGGGTGATTTGTCCCAGGGGACGCGCTCAGCATTTAACATAAGCTTCATGATACAATGTTTGGTGGCAACCTAGAAAATCGCATTCCCTTTGGTCATTTGATGCGTTTGCTCTGTTCACTCATTTACATTACTGGCTGATGCGGCGCAAACTCCAACACTTCCCAATTTTACTTCTGCCCAGGCTAGATAGTTACATGGTCTCTCGAAAACCAACCAGAAATATAGTAACGTGGCACTTTTCCTCAGTTTAACGGGATCACATAATTGCCAACTTAGGCACGCGTGTGTTTTTAATGTTGGCCGATGTCTTAACTACCTTCACCGGGATTCTTAGTACTTTTTAGCAATTTTAGGCACAATTAAGACGTAACCCGTGTGAATTGGGATTTGGTTTCGTCAGAGGCTAAAAATTCCTACTACTTTCTCAAATGAGAGAAACGACTTTAAATCCGCACAAAAGGAGGCATCTTTTATATCTGCTTAGAGCATTTGATCAAACGTGGGCGCTAAAATTATACGCAGAACCGTTGATCTTCTACCAAGTTAATGATTTTGCTGCATCGAATAACTCCTGCTTTAAGAGTTCGTTGGACTTCCTCACACTCAATTCTATGTAGGAGGTGGAGCAGAGTTTTAGCTGCGATATGAAAATGCATTGAAAGAAAGTTATCTGACAATACATACCGTGGTTGAAATCGGGAGATGTATTTTCTTGTCCAGGACCAAAAACAGCTTTCAACTGCACACAGACCAGAAATGCTTAGGCATATATTAAGGTGCCGGTTATATCGTATTGTCTCTTTCCATCAATTGGTTCACCGTGAGGTGCGCTAAGCAACCACAAGTTGACTTGCATTAAACTGGCGGCGCTTCGGGTGATACTCTCCTGACTACCTCACTGCACAGCCTCCTTCATTCAATATACCATCATTTTTGGCCCACTTTTCTTCGAGAGTAACTCGTGATTTGCCTTGAAAACACGCATGTTTAATAGTCTTTTGCAAAATTAGTGTTCCCTGTTACAAAATAAAATACAAATGTTAAAAATTTTGACGGTGGAAAACTTTTAGTGTTGCTGCTCTCACAGGCAACAAAGTTTCCTTTTCGTTCCTTTTTTGTTAGCAAACTTTGCAGATTTCTAGCTGCGTAAAGTTAGAAAAGCCTTTCACACAAGTTGGAGAGGGGGAAGCCGTATCTTCTCCTCCACCATCAACATTGCTATGTAGGCTAACATTCAACGCATGCTTTGAATAGAAATGAAAAGGGAAGATGTAAACGTGGAATGTGTTTCAACTAAGACTATCCCATATTCTTCCCACACCATTTAGTGATCATGGCAGTCACCTAGACATTTTATGATTCTACTGTAGCACACAAAGCAAAAAAAGGAAATCACTTAACTTTAGACACAGAATATCTAACGCCCAATCTATCGTCTTAGTACAATACTGAATAGGCAGGCATGATAACATGGTAAAGGCTACAAGTCGCCGATACGTAAAGTGACAGTCAACGTAAAAATTATCAATCGAGAAACCTCGTCAACCTTCAAAGACGTGACGTCAATAACGCAGTATCGTGCTGATGTAGAAGAAAAGGAGGAGAAGCATGGAAAATGAAGTTGCGATTCGGAAGATATTAGAGTGAGAGAACCAAAGGAAAACAAAAGAAGAGGGGCTTCCGACTTTACCGAAATACCCTGAGAGCTCATTTTCCGCATTACGCACTTGTGGGTGGGTCAAGTACCGGGACTGTAGAGGTTTTAATGTTAGTGAGAGGGATATGACCTAGTGAGGTATGATGCAAGACGGAATGCTCTGGAGCATAGAGCACAGTCGGAGGAGAATGAGATGCTGAAGGAGGTGTGAACGGAATTTGGCTTGGGAAGGGAGAAGGCAATAGGGTGATTCCCCCATGTTGAAGGCGTCGGATGGTTCTGCATGTGCATGTTAATTACTAATGGCTGTGACACGGAATAAAATGCCTCATTTGGACTCGAAGTCTTTCTACTTTATTTTGACTGGCGCATGTAGTAGTAAATGAGTTCAGTCGCATCTAGTCGCATTCCACTGCATTGCAATAAATGGTTGGGCATGAAAGTGAATTTGCGTGAAGTGAAGGAGGTGGATAAAACGGGAAGGGCTAGGTATGGTAAGATATTGAAACGTCACGAGGCTAGTTCAACCCACATGGTACAGCGCTTTTGCAATTGGTAAATGGTTTGCAGTCAGTTCTTGTAGTTCAGTACGTCTGCTGCTTGTGTGTTTGTAGACGCATTGGAGAGGCATCAGAGATGTGGTGCAAGAAGTATGGAGTAAAAACGAGGAAATGAATTTAGCTAATCTGCTCTGGGGATTCTCGGGGAGTAGATAATCGGCAAATGTGGCTTCCTGATTAATATTCTTAATGCTAAGCCTATGCAAATAAGTGCATTTTACCACGGAGGAGGCTGCTTTGGCTATTCCCCGCAGTGGGAGCTAAAAGGGATGAGCGTTCGGTTGCAAGGGAAAATGGAATGATTTTGAAAGGCGGAGAATAAGACGAAAAAGAAAATATTAGTTTAAAGTATAAGTAAAAAAGATCTTCGTAGTCTTTTTCACTTCCATTCATCACTCTCCCATCCTTTTTTGTACTAACATTACTTTTGTTGACAAGTAAACATAATGGCTCATATTTCTTGTTGAAGGAGGTATTATTTGTGTAAGAATTGCATGTACCAGCGCGACTGCATTAATTATATGTGAATAAATTAGCTGGTATGAATGTAAGCAGCTAACTAGTGTACACGAAGCCTTAGGGATGGCATAACTTGCCCTCATTGTCAAACATATCCGCCTGCTCTGCATTCCGTAACGCTTTGGCCAAATATAAGGTAGAATGGCATAGGGAAGGAAATATTGAGATAGGCCGGATGGCGGGAAGAACAACAACCAGAAGCATCGACATGGGGAGCAGGATGGATTGTATACTGTCGATTGACGTGTCTCGCAGTTTGGCGAGTCATTCCTTTACACCTGATATATTTCGGAATAGATAGATGGCACTTGTCGCGTCGTGTAGGTACCTATCTCGCCCTCGTGAAGTACCCCCTTCGGCGGAGTTTTTGGGACGAGGTGAATCCTCATTCACTTTTGTTATTCGTAAAGGCAGCCCGACGCAAATTCCTAAAGCATTTGAACAAATTTGTCCTTATTTAGCTAAATCATGAATATAGCATAAATACGTTAGCTTATATAAGTGATTGTCCAGCTTCTTGCACAAAAAATGACTTTATTCGGCTGGCAAATTAAAGGGTGTCAGGTGTCACCAATGGCGTGGAAGCATTTTTGTCCCTGTTTGTCTATTCCTCTGCTCATCTTTGATCCACCAATGCTATACCCATCCATCTTAACTTTGAACAATCACCCATTCGTATTAGCTTCCCTTTTTTCACACAAATCTAAACTGTTTATCCATTTGCTCCTAATCCATTCCTTTATGCACGCATTAATCTGCATAAGTATTCTATTGTTGATTTGCATTTTCATTCCCAATGCATTCATCCATACATCTACTTAACTTTTGCTCTCACCTGCCATATATCGCAGAGTCAACATTTCATCTAATATATCTTGGTGCAACTTCCAATTCACCCTCATCCATCTCTCCACACATCCATCTACCTCCCCATCTCTTCCAATTCTCAGTAACAACAGATTCATCTACTCTGAACTAATCCAATTATTCGTCACTCATGGATTAATCCGCACCTCCCGAATTCATGCATTCCTTCACACCATTAAATAACCAAATAAGCAATCGCCAGCTCTGACTTCATTAAAATGGCAAAAAATGTGACCACTACGAATAAATTGGCAGGATAGACAAGCCGTGTATTTGCATGCAATGCCTTTTCTTTTAGTACATTGTCCCTCGGCTTGGCTTGAAATAACACTACCATCACCATCCTG